ATGTTGATCGCCTCCGACAATATTATCTCTTCTGCTACTGGAATCCAGCAAGGTGATCCTCTTGGTCCGCTGCTATTTGATATGGCTATTGACGGGATAGCTCGTTCCATCACTTCTCCTTTCAATATATGGTATCTTGACAATGCAACGTTGGGAGGATCCATCGCGACCGTAGCTGCTGACCTCCGACGAGATATTCCTGCTTTATCTCTGCTTGGACTTGAGATTAACTCGTCCAAGTCAGAAATAATAAACTTGAATTATAGTGCAGATGATTTCGAGAGTGCTATCCGGTATATTAGACTCATCCTTGAGGATATTAAAATAACACCTATGGAGGAATTACGTATTCTTGGTTCTCCAGTCTTTCCAATGGCCATTCGAGAGTGTTTGGATACTAAGCATGTCATTCTAACAAGAATGACTGTGAAATTGCAACTCATTGATGCGCACCCAGCCCTCTTCCTCTTGAAGAACAGTTTTTCGCTACAGAGTTCCCTCTACACTCTCCGAAGTGGCCCTTGCAACCTCGAACGGGATTTCTTAAATGGGATAGATATCACAGTTATGAGATGTGCGGAGCAAATTTGCAACGTCAATTTCGACGACACAGGCTGCAGGCAGGCAACGAGACCTGGGCCTTCGATCAGCGGTAGATTTGGCCCTTCCAGCATAGCTTTCTTCACTTTCGTCCAGTCACGAATTAATTGATGAGATACTCTGTCGATCGTCTCAGTATTTTGTGACGTCGCCCCCCCCCCTGGTCGCAGCGTCGACTCTGTCGTTCGATCTCGTTCGCGGCACCAGTTGTGACGTCACGTGCTCTCCAGGCTCTGATATCCTGGTCACGGACAGCACCAGTTGTGACGTCTTTGCCGCGGCGTCAGCTGTTCGCTCCTCGCTGCTCCAAGTGTGACGTTCTAACCCTTTGGTTAGATGAATACCAGCCTCGCCGTTCCCAACTCGCTTCCAACGCCTGGTTACTAGGGTAACTGCACTGATCTCCGGTCTGCCTACCCAAGTTGTGATTAGATCTTAGACAGACGGGATCAAACAGGGGTTGGTGCCGTATGCCAGCTGGGTTCAACGGGGGTGATAACACACAAGTAAAAGTAAAACTCACGAGGTCAAAAATTATTGAAAAAAAAGGGTAACAACCTTTTATATCTAAATGTTCGTTACACAAAATTGTTCCTACCTCCCGACCCGTTTTGTGGACTGTGGCACCAAGCTTCTACCATACAACTTTAAGACTTCGAGTTGCTTGTTCTCTAGAAATTTGCATTTCGGGGTGTGGTTTGGTTTCGACACTGGGCGCTGATCTCTACCAGTCGTTCACGGCTGATTTCCCTCGCCGTCAGTGCGCGAATTAACTTCTCTTCTGCTTCGGGTGGACGAATTTATTCACTTCGACTTGAGTTTGGATGGATTTATTCACTTCGATTTGTCTTGGACGAATTTCTCTTCATAGGCTTGGTGTGATTCCAACTTCTCCTAGTCACAACTGCAAGTTAACTTCTTCTTCGTCCGAGGCGCAAACCCAACTCCAACTGCAACTTCTCTCCCTGTCCGGCCTGTAACTGTCTCGCCGTCCGCCCTGCAACTCTTCTGCCTGTTTGGCCTGCCACTCTTCTGCCTGTCCGGCCTGCAACTCTTCTGCCTGTCCGGTCTGCAACTTTAACTTCTCTTCGACTTTCGGGCTGCAGCTCCAACTCTTCTTAGGCTTTCGGGCAATTTTCTTCACTTCGACTTGGGCTTCACTTCGACTTGGGCATTTCTCATGTAGTTCTTTCGAACACGCTTGCAGCGTTTGGGCCCAAGAATTATTTTCTCACCCACTAGACACATCAAAACAAAAAAGCGGGGATAAAATAAAATGCAAGGCCAATTTTATTAATTTGAGTCTCTCTCTGGATCAGCATCGCCTCGCCTGTCTACTATCTGCTTCACAACAGAGTAGTGGCGCCTGGCTCAACGCAGTGCCCTCTTATCTACAGGTACACTTAGAGATGATGAATGCACTCGAGTCGGAGTCGGGATCCGTCTTGGACTCAAAATATGTGAGCGTCACAGATGCAGATGTGGAGCCTCCATCGATGAGTTTGGTTTGAATCCTCTCTCCTGTCGTTGTAGTGTCGGCCGCTTTCCACGGCATGCAGCCATTAACGACATCATCAAAAGAGGTTTGGATGCAGCTGGGTTCCCTTTCCCAAGTCTAACCCTTAGGCCTCGGCCGTGGTGATGGAAAGCGGCCGGATGGCATTACCATTTTCCCTTTTAAAATGGGGAAGTCGTTGATTAGGGATGCGACCTGTGCGGATACATTTTCGACTGGTAATTTGATCAGCGGTTGATCCAGGATCCGTCGCCCGGGACGCAGAGATGAAAAAAAAATAGTTAAATATTCTTCTCTTGCTGATAGATTTTTTTTTACCCCTGTGGCAGTGGAGACTTCAGGGGTTATTGGCCCTCGTTCGATGGCGTTCCTTCGGAGGATTGGCGCGATCGTGTGTCGATTAAGGGACGAGCCTCACGAAACGGAGTGGCTCTTGCAGTGTATCTCACTGGCGATGGTTTGAGGAAATGCTTTCTCCATCATTGCGGCTGGCAGAGGAAAGAAAAAATTGTTTATAGTTACGTTGTTCTGGAATTGTCATCAGTGGTCAACTGTACTTGTCTTGTTTCAATAAATTTTATAAATTTTAAGATTACAAAAAAAAATCAACAGTTGTCTTTTGTATGGACTCTAAATCCTTTATAATCATTTGAATAATATTAGTATATATATATATATATATATATATATATATATATATATATATATTGATATGGACCGGTTCATTGTACCCTGGTGGGGAGTCGAAGGTAGAACCAATAAAGAAGAACTCGAAAGCGGATATGGAATAAATCAGATATATTATAAACAGGAATAGTATTTAGTATAAACGGGTTCAGGGCCGGTTTACCTCCCCGAAAGAGACTCCGCCATTTGGTGTAGCCTCGTTCGTTGTTACTCCCCGCCCGAAGGCGGAGAATTCAGCCGATCAGCCGGTCAGTCGGTCGTCCGACTTCAGACTGAACGGTATTTAATCACCCCCCCCCACGAGAGCATCATGTGGCACAAGGCCGGTTTAACGTTGGATCTCCGAGCCCGTGGTCTCGGCCAAAAATATGCAATTTGAACCCGTATAAACAGGTTCAGCGTCGGTTTACCTCCCCGAAAGAGAGTCCGCTCTTCGGCGTAGCGTCGTTCGGGTTCCTCCCCGTCCGAAGGCAGAGAGTTCAACCGATCAGCCGGTCAGTCGGTCGTCCGACTTCAGACTAAACGGTATTTAGTCACCCCACCGCGACGGCTTCATGTAGCAGAAGGCCGGTTTAACGTGGGATCTCCAAGCCCGTGGGCTCGCCCAAAAAAATATGCCAATGGAACCCGTATAAACGGGTTCAGGATCAGTTTACTTCCCCGAAAGAGACTCCGCTCTTCGGCGTAGCCTCGTTCGGGTTCCTCCCCGCCCGAAGGCAGAAAGTTCATCCGATCAGCCGGTCAGCCGGTCGCCCGACTTCGGACTGGACGTTATTTAGTCATCCGCCCCACGAGGGCATCATGTGGCACAAGGCCGGATTAACGTGGGATCTCCGATCTCTTATGTTGCTGTGTAGGTTGATATATTTACATTTATTTCTATGTGTGTATATATGCGTACACATTTGTGTAAGTATATGTATGTATGTGTGTATGTATGTATATATATGTGTGTGTGCGTGTGTCTGTGTGAGAGAAATAATGATATATTAATCTAAAATCGTCTGGAGATCAGATGAGAGTGAAACTATAGTTAGGAGTAGAGACATCTTTTTATAGGACTTAACGTTGGGAAGGGTAATTCTGCTCGGCTTTGCCCGCTTTACTTTACTGACCAGGTAAGTTAGATTTATTTCTCTTTCTTTATACTATATTGTCGTTTTTATTATAGACTTTATCTGGATAATCATTAGTAAAATCAATGTCTTTGTCTTTTTATTTGATATATATATATATATATATATATATATATATATATATTGTAAGGCCATATTTAACAGTTGTCTTCAATGTCTTTCGAGCACCTTGCTAAAAATATGATAATTAAGCGTAAATAATACACCTCCTCTTTTAAAATGGCAAATATTATAATAATTCTCTTAGGATTGCTGCGCTCCAAATGTTAGATATATCCGGTATAAAGACAAACCCTTTTTTGCGGAACTTTTTAAAAAAATTTTATCATAATTGATTTTCATTTCTGCATACAGACATTTTGCTCCTAGCGTAATTTCTCGATTATTTCAATGTCTTTTCCAAATAAATAAAAAATTCCGATGATGTCAAAATATATTTGCACCATACATTATATAAAAACATAGGTATGCGTACTTTTAAATTTATATTTTTTCCCTCTTGTATCCTACTGATCAAACATATTATGACATTTGTTCTCGTGTTTTAAAAACCACACTGTTCTCTTATTCCCGACGTAATTCTGCTATTCTCACTTTTCTTCAGAATCCGGATGATAGGCTTCGTTATGTTACTCATAAAACAAATTGTACGATGGAGCTCGTATTTATTTGCACCTGCAAACGGCAACGCGACGAAGAAGCTCTACTAAGGTGTTTCAGTATAAAACCACTTTTGTTTAATTTCATTGATTCTACTGTCTCTTTGTCAATGTCGAAACTCTCTAAGCCTGTTCGCATGTCATTTACAACCCCACTCAGTCACGCTGCACTGTTCTGGGTCGTCCAGTTCATCTTAACTTAGAATTTTATTCTGAAATAAAATATGTCTGAAAGCTGGTAGCCATAAACTTCATTTAAATAGGTTTAAAATTCTGCATTCATGAATCTGTTATTGATTGTTTCATTAATTTTTTAAGCCCCATATTGAGTCATCCCCAGCGTACCATATCCACAATCGTCTTACGTGCTCTTGAAACCAGGTGTAAGTATTCATTTTATTAGGAAGATGTTAGATATTTTGAGATGTTACTACAACATAGTGATTTTTCTTTTCTTTTTTATAATATTTTGTGTCTTTTAAAGTTCAATATCTATTTTCAGGTAGTTGTGCTATTTGTATCGATTTTTCTGGGAATTTTTTTATAATTCCTATACATTTTTCTAGTGTTTTTGTATATTACTGTAGTTTGGTATATTATGTTAGTCTGGAATGACTTATTCTGTAGTGGGCATTCGTAATTTAGATTCCAGTTGGAGATGGTAGATGTGGGTGTTTGTAGTGTACTGAAGATTTTTCTCATTTGTTTTAGCATGAAAAATAAATTTTTAAAAGGACCATGAGTGAGTAAAGAGATCGTATGCAAGTCGTTAGTCCTTTATAGTTTCAGCCATGTGAACCGGGTTTTAAACTCAGCATGGTCAGTTAACTTAGTATTAAAATTCTTGAAAAGATCAGCCTGGGTACGATCCCAGAATTTGCGCTATTGTGAACTGTCGTAAAACCGTATCATGGCTTCCGAGTGTAATTGGATAGATGAAACTACTGAAGCCGTCGATGATTGTACATATCATTTAATTGGCAGAGAGAATCTCTCCCGCATTAGTTGAGTATTTATCTAAGGATGGTGCCGAGACAAACACAAAACACCCATATTTCGTGGAGTGTATTTCGGCCTAAAAATGTCACAAAGAAAGAAACCCTTAAAAATGAA